ATCATGGGTCATACAACAGATCTTCAAGGCAAAAAAGTATTTTGACACTGCTGGATATACTGAGGAGGAGGTGAAGAGGATGGAAAGTTTCTCTATAAAGCACATGTACAAAGCTATGCAAGGGGAATTTCAGAAAGTACCATGAAGGAGATTAATCTGCAATAACTATGGATTACCAAAGTGGAAGTTCATTTTAAGATTGGCAATACAGGAAAGGCTAGCCACAAAAGAAAGGCTAGCAAGATGGGGGATACAAATTGATACCACATGCTCACTATGTCAAAGAGAGATTGAAACAGTGCAACACTTATTTTTTGAATGTGAGGTGACAACAACCATATGGCAGCAACTCTTTGTTGGACTTTAAGCCATTGGGATTTAAAGTAAAAGAAGTGTGAATTGGAAATGGAGGGAAATAAAATGGAGGCAAAAATGAAAATTTGAAGAAGTGAACTTTTGTCTTGCACTTTGTCCATCATTGGTGAGGGACAATCACATTTGTGTGCTTATATAGAATCAATTCTTAAAGCTCTTAAAAGGAGTTGAAGAGAATGAACCCTCGCGCTGTCGTCGTCGCTCGCTCGGCTCGGCTTCGGCTTTGGCTTTGGATTTGGATTTGGATTTGGATTTGGATTTGGATTTGGATTTGTCAAATGATCGGTTGATAAGATTATTTTTGGACAAAATTTATTTAATTATTTAATAATTAATTAAATGCCAAATCACTGCTGAAAATACGCCAGAACCTTGCTGAAGATTCAGAGGGACTCTCTGGCCGCGGTTCTACCGTAACCGCGGTAGAACCGCGGCAGGCAGCTTCAGAGAGCCTCTCTGACCGCGGTTCTGCCGTAACCGCGGTAGAACCGTGGCAGGCAGCGTATTCTTCTGAAAAGGCACCTTTTCCAGACACCTCTTCTGATAATTGCCTATAAATTCTGAGGCAAGACTCCATTTTCTACACACGAAAAATACTCCAGAACTTCTTTCTTTTTGAATATACTGCATCCTAATTCGCAGTCAATCTCTCTCCAATTCGTAAGTGTGATTTTGCTCCGTTCTTTGAGTTCGTTGGGATCCTGCAGTTTGTATTGCCACTGTTGCAGGAAGGTTTATTCCGTTTTATCCTGGGAGGATTTAATCCATTACCTTGGCAACTTGTGAGGGGGTTAAAATTCCTTAATGACACACAAGAAACTTGTGGACTCGAAATATTTCTGATTCTCTACTATTTTCCAGATTTCTTTAATTCTTCTAACAGTTTCTTTTTCTGATTTTGTGGTAACACTAACAAGCTTAAGGAATTTTATACTAACGTTTCTGTGTTGGAACATATATTAAACTGTTATTCATATTTTGTATACTGTTTTGGAGACTAAAGCCTTCGTGCTTTCTACTCCAATAATTGTTCTGTCCGGTTTAAAGTGTATAAAAACTTTACCAGAATAATAAACGTACGGGTTTGAAGTATATAAAAACTTCACCATTGTTACGTGTTGTATGTTTGGTTTGGTATTCAGTTTGAAGATATCAAAACTTCACTGATTTAACAAAGTTCTGTTGTGTTTCCAACTCTACAGAAAAGATGACGAACGAAAACCAAACTAATGGAAATGTTGTGGGAACGGGAGCTACTGTTACGAGTGCTGCTGCCTCGTCAAGCCGTTCTACTCCTGCTCATGCTATGGCACCAGCAGAAAAACCCAAAAAGTTTTCCGGTATTGACTTCAAACGTTGGCAAATGAAGATGCTCTTCTATCTTACTACGTTGAGTTTGCAATGTTTCATCAAGGAGTATCCTCCGGTCTTGGCAGAAAGTACTCCGGATGATGAACGACTTGTTGTAACTGAAGCATGGAAACATTCTGATTTCTTGTGCAAAAACTACATTTTGAGTTGTTTGGAAGATGGCTTGTACAATGTCTATAGCGTCATGGAAACTTCAAAAGCATTATGGAATGCGCTTGAGAAGAAGTACAAGACTGAGGATGCCGGACTTAAGAAGTTCGTGGCTGCTAGATTTTTGGATTTCAAGATGATTGACACTAGGTCGGTCATAACTCAAGTCCAAGAATTACAAGTCATTGTGCATGACCTCCTTGCTGAAGGTATGACCCGAATCAATAAGTTTATTAATAAGATTTATCTTATTATTAATTTTGAATCTATTGCTGAAGGTATGGTCATAAATGAGGCCTTTCAAGTCGCCGCTTTCATTGAGAAATTACCTCCAATGTGAAAAGATTTTAAGAACTATCTAAAACACAAGCGGAAGGAGATGACACTTGAAGACTTGATTGTGCGTTTGAGGATAGAAGAAGACAACAAAAATGCTGAAAAGAAGTCACGTGGGAACTCGACAATAATGGGGGCTAACATTGTTGAGGAGGCGCCACAAACCAAGAAGAGAAAGAAGGCTTCTGGACCAAAGAACTACCCAAGCAAGAAGAAGTTCAAGGGTAATTGCCACAACTGTGGAAAATCTGGGCATAAGGCCGTGGATTGTCGTGCACCAAAGAATGATAAGAAGAAGAAGAATCAAGCTAACATGATTGAAAAAGCTGAAGAAATGGAGGACTTGTGTGCCATGTTGTCTGAATTCAACTTGGTAGGAAATCCTAAAGAATGGTGGATAGATTCTGGAGCCACCCGCCATGTTTGTGCTAACAAGGAGTTATTTTCTTCTTATGCCCCAACAGGACCCGACGAGACAATTTTCATGGGAAATTCGTCTACAGCCAAAATTGAAGGAGTTGGCAAGATTGCGTTGAAGATGACGTCGGGAAAAATAGAGACTCTAAACCAAGTTCTCCATGTTCCAGAAATTCGCAAGAATCTTGTGTCGACTTCACTTCTTGTCAAGAATGGATTCAAATGTATTTTTGTTTCCAATAGTGTTGTACTAAGTAAGAATGATATGTATGTAGGAAAAGGTTACCTGAATGAGGGCCTTTTTAAGCTAAATGTAATAGCAGTTCCTATCAATAAAGTGAATGTTTCTTCTTACTTACTTGAGTCAAACACTTTATGGCATTCGCGTTTAGTACACGTCAACTTCAAAACATAGCGAAAGATGATAAATTTAGAAGTATTGCAAAAATTTGATTGCATTAATTCCAAATGTCAAATATGTGTGGAATCAAAGTATGCTAAGCATCCTTATAAGTCCGTTGAAAGGAATTCAAGTCCTTTAGACTTAATTCACACAGATATTTGTGACATGAAGTAAATACCATCTCGCGGTGGAAAAAAGTATTTTATTACTTTTATTGACAATAGCACGAGATATTGCTATGTTTATTTACTTAATAGTAAAGATGAGGCAATTGATGCTTTCAAGCAATACAAGAGTGAAGTTGAAACACAACTAAACAAAAAGATCAAAATGATAAGAAGTGATAGGGGTGGCGAATATGAATCTCCTTTTGAAGAAATATGTTTGAAAAATGGCGTTATTCACCAAACAACTGCCCCTTACTCTCCACAATCTAACGGAATTGCGGAGAGAAAGAATCGAACATTGAAGGAGATGATGAATGCGTTGCTGATAAGTTCTAGCTTACCACAAAACTTGTGGGGGAAGCTATACTTACAGCTAACCGAATAATCAACCGTGTACCTCATAGTAAAACACAGTCCATTCCTTATGAAAAGTGGAAAGGAAGGAAGCCCAGCTTGAAATACTTCAAAGTGTNAAAGATTTTAAGAACTATCTAAAACACAAGCGGAAGGAGATGACACTTGAAGACTTGATTGTGCGTTTGAGGATAGAAGAAGACAACAAAAATGCTGAAAAGAAGTCACGTGGGAACTCGACAATAATGGGGGCTAACATTGTTGAGGAGGCGCCACAAACCAAGAAGAGAAAGAAGGCTTCTGGACCAAAGAACTACCCAAGCAAGAAGAAGTTCAAGGGTAATTGCCACAACTGTGGAAAATCTGGGCATAAGGCCGTGGATTGTCGTGCACCAAAGAATGATAAGAAGAAGAAGAATCAAGCTAACATGATTGAAAAAGCTGAAGAAATGGAGGACTTGTGTGCCATGTTGTCTGAATGCAACTTGGTAGGAAATCCTAAAGAATGGTGGATAGATTCTGGAGCCACCCGCCATGTTTGTGCTAACAAGGAGTTATTTTCTTCTTATGCCCCCGCAGGACCCGACGAGACAATTTTCATGGGAAATTCGTCTACAGCCAAAATTGAAGGAGTTGGCAAGATTGCGTTAAAGATGACGTCGGGAAAAATAGTGACTCTAAACCAAGTTCTCCATGTTCCAGAAATTCGCAAGAATCTTGTGTCGACTTCACTTCTTGTCAAGAATGGATTCAAATGTATTTTTGTTTCCAATAGTGTTGTACTAAGTAAGAATGATATGTATGTAGGAAAATGTTACCTGAATGAGGGCCTTTTTAAGCTAAATGTAATAGCAGTTCCTATCAATAAAGTGAATGCTTCTTCTTACTTACTTGAGTCAAACACTTTATGGCATTCGCGTTTAGGACACGTCAACTTCAAAACATTGCGAAAGATGATAAATTTAGAAGTATTAAATACATCTTCAAGTGAAAATTAAAAATTTTATAACCAAACGCCGATTTAAAAAAAAAAAATAAAATTTTTCGAAAAAAAGTAAAAAAAAAAACTTATGTCCAGGCTCTATATTTAAATACCATAAGTGACATAACTTAGTAATTCAAATTAATTAACTCATGATAAGAAAGATTTCCGCTGAACCAAATTGGATTAATTATCTAATGTTCTCCTACTTTTTTAGACCAAAATACCCTTCCATTTCGATATGAACGAGGCTAAACTATCCCAATAATAAGCAGTAAATAAGCACTGAGCAGAGGGCAAAAGTAAAACCATTGCTGCTTTACAAGACTGATTTCGAGACAAAAACAATAAGCAGACACAAAAGCTCTGAGCTTTTTTTATTTTTATTTTTTTATTATAAAAGCTCTGAGCTCGAGTGTCTGTTCTGAGGTTGTAACCTGTGAGTGATGATATTTTCTTCTCTTCTTTTTGTGAGAATCAAATTGCTTTTTCTTGTCTTATCAATAGATCTGAGCCTCAATTTTACTTTTAATTGCTTGTATTTGATTGTTATTGTTAAAAGGGTGTCTATGGTATATGATGGAAAATATTTTTGTTGGTGAAATTTTTATTTGGTTACTAATGTGTTTTCCTATGAGAGGAAGAAAGTTGGGAACTTTTTAGGTGAGAACCAAGAATTTTCCTGAAAAAAAAAAAATTCAGCCCAGAAAGAGAAATGAGGTTAATATCTCTGTTTGTGCTAATGATTTTCTGTAACTACTAAACAAACAGCTCTTGTTCATGGATTACTCATAAACAGAAGCTATGAACTATAGACTCACTGTGTGTCTGTGTTGGAGACTTTTTAGCTGAAAGGCCTGTGTAAATCTTGATTTAAGAAACTGGTGTGTGTGTGTGTGTGTGGGGAGAAACATTTTAGCTGAAAGGCTTGTGTAAGTCTTGATTTAAGAAACGTACGCGTGTGTGTGTGTGTGTGTGGAGACTTTTTAGCTGAAAGGCTTGTGTAATTCTTGATTTATGAAACTAGTGTGTGTATGTCTGTAGAATTTTTAGCTGAAAGTCCTGAGTAAGTCTTGAATTGTGAAACTAGTGTGTGTGTTTCTTTTTTCCTGATTTTGAGTAATTTTGCAAAAGAAGCAGTGTGATATTGAGGCTTTCATGATGATTTTTCAGAGAAAATAGAATTGGGTATTACAGTTACAGGCTTGTATGTTGGCAGAGAAACCTAAATATGTGTAAAAAAATGGCATAAAAATTGGATCCTTTTATTTACCCGCACTCTTTTTGTTGCTGTTTTATCTTATGTTTCTCTTCTTGCTGCTATTGTGCTGTTTTATGAACCAAACAGCTAGAAATCATTGTAAAAAATAGCATAAAATGCGGTATATGCATTAAAAATGGATCTCTTCTTATACCCATAACCCATGTTGTTTTTGTTGCTGCTGCATCTTCTGTTTCTCTTCTTGTTGCTATTGTGCTGTTTTTTGAACCAAACAGCAAGAAATCACTGTGAAGATAAAGCTTCTCTTGAGCAATTTGGGTTAGGCATTGAGATGATAAGAGCTGTATCTTGGCGGGGTAACCCGAAGAGGTTGCAGCCATGGCAGTTTCTGATAAAACCCAATGCCTAAAAAAGGGCAGCCTGGTGCACTAAGCTCCCGTTATGCGCGGGCGGGGTCAGGGGAAGGGCCGACCACAAGGGTCAGTTGTACGCAGCCTTACCCTGCACTTCTGTAAGAGGCTGTTTCCACGGCTTGAACCGGTGACCTCCTGGTCTCATGGCATCAACTTTACCAGTTACGCAAGGCTCCCCTTCAAAAAAACCCAATGCCTAATTAAATTGAAATCTGAGCCTCATTATGTACACCATGCGACATAGGGAAATTACATATATTACCCCCAAACTTGTCCCGAAAAGTCATTTAAATACTTAACTTTACGAGAAAAAGCTCAAAATTGTCCCTTATCGAGACGGTGATGATCTTTCAATCTATCATCCTTGGCTAGTCATTGAGCATAGCGAGTACCGACCCATATCTTGGCAGGGCAATCACACGGATGCTTGTAATTTTATTGCATGCAACTCGGGTATTTGCAGCCATGGCGGGGCTGGACTTCCTTTGCCTAAGCATAAATACAGATCTGAGCCTCAGTTCTCATCCCATAATCTTACTTTTGGTGTACTTGACATGGAGGAAACTCTTTCAGTCAACCAAGGCTGCTGGATTCAGAGAGTTTTGGGGAGTTCTTTGAGTGGTTTCCCCTCTCTGGCATTCTCAGCAGTCAATGATCGCTCAAAATTTCCCCTTTTCACACGACTCTTTAGCAAGTAAGTTCAAATGAGGCAGTGAAGATTTTTATTCTTTACTCATCAGATGGTTGAACTTTGCTATGTCTTGGCGTGGCAGCTTAAGGCTTCTTAAGCTTGCAGCCATGGCAGGGTTTGGCTTATGTTTGAGAAAAGGCTAATCTGAGCCTCCAGTGACTTCTCATATGAAAATAAAGAGACTCAAACAGCCCTTTAAATGGTGGGATCTTTACCGAAATAGCCGGCCAGATTCACTATTAACTTTTTCCAACCATATAGTCAAACTTCTCTGTAACAACCATCCTCTCTAACAACACTTCACTGTAACGGCCAAGTTTTCTTTGGAACCAATTTTTCAGTTTATGTTATAATATATGTTCTGCTGTAGCAGCCAACAAATGTCCGGAGCAAACGAGGCGGTTAAAAACTCAGAGAAAAGAGAGGAGGAATTTTCAAAAGGTGGTTTCCTTCTCTGTAACTCCAGTGACTTCTCAAAAAAAAAAAAAAAAAAGAGTAAAGAACAAAACAGCCTTTTAAATCTCAGGGAAAAATTATTCATACCATGTTGAAGGTTTTTGCCTCAAGTGGTCCTTTATGTTAAGGAGTTGAGCTGTTAAGCAGAAGTTAGAGAATTCTGAGGCTGTGATGATATTGTCTTCTCTTCTTTCTTTGAGCAAATTAATGGGGCAAGAAAATTAGAAGTGACCCGTATCTTGGTGGGGCAATCCGGATGGCAAGTGATCGTTCTGTCATGCAACCGGTGTTTGCAGCCATGGCGATGTCTTGATTCTCTTGTCTTATCAACAGTTCTGAGTCTCTAACTTTACTCTTATAGCTTGTTTGGATGGCTGTTACCTATTGTATTGTTATTTTAAAATGGCGTCTTTGGCATGATGGGAAACATATTTTTCATGTTGAGATCAGTATTTGGTTACTATAACTCTGAAGTTCGGAACTTTTAAGGAGAGAGCCAAGAATTTTCCTAAAAAAAGTCCGCCCAGAGAGAGAAATGAGGCCAACAGAGGGAAGGGATTTTCTGTTGAGGGTGGTTGCCCCTCTCTGTTGTGCCTGTGATTTTCTGTAGGTACTAAACGTCTAAACCAACAGCCCTTGTTCATGAAATGCTGAGAAACAGCATATGCTTCTTCAGTATACAGTTTTACTGCTGAACCTCTGTGTATCTGTGTGTGCATGTGTTTCTTTTTCCTCCTTCGGAATAATTTTACAAAAGAGGTAGTGATGATAATAACGTTCACTTTCTGGGCTAACAAAATTGGGCATAGTGGACAATCCCAACTCGTATCTTGGCCTGGCAAATCTCTTGTTGTGCAAGCAACTGGTGATTTTGCAGCCATGGCGTAGTTGCCTTCACTTTATCCAAGCAAACTGCAGTATCTGAGCCTCAAGTTTCTGAAATCAAACTCAGGATGTTTGGTGCTTTGAAAAATGTGGTATACGTGTAAAAAAAAAAAAATGGATCTTTTTTATATACCTATGTTGTATGTTGTTTTTGTTGCTGTTGCATCTTATGTTTCTCTTCTTGCGACTGTCATGCTGCTTTATGAACCAACAGCAACAACAACAAAAAACCTAGTATAGACCCCACTCGGAAGGGTAGTGTGTATGCAGACCTTACCCCTACCTTGAGGTTGTTTCTGATAGACCCTCATTTGCTTTTATGAACCAAACAACAAAAGATAAGAACATGCTGAATCATGGTGGCTGTGAAGATTTTCTTGAGCAATTTGAGTAAGGCATTGAGATAATAAGAGCCATATCTTGGCGGGGTAACTCGGAAAGGTTGCAGCCATGGCGGTTTCTGATAACACCCAATGCTTAATTAAATTGGAATCTGAGCCTCGTTATGTACATTGATACGACATAGGGACAATACATAAATTACACCCAAACTTGTCCCGAATAATCATTTACATACTCTAACTTTATGAGAAGTAGTCCAAAATTGTCCCTTATTGAGACGGTGATGATCTTTCAATCCATCATCCTAAGCTAGTCATTGAGCATAGGGTGTACCCGACCCGTAACTTGGCGAGGCACTGACCCGGATGTTTGTAATTTTATTGCATGCAACTGGCGATATTTGCAGCCATGGCGTGGCTGTACTTTCTTTGCCTAAAACATATATAGATCTGAGCCTCCATTTTCTCCATAATCTTACTTTGAGTGTACTTGATACGGAGGAATCCATTTCAGTCAATCTGAGGCTGCTGGATTCAGAGAGCTTTGGGGAGTTCTTTGAGTGGTTGCACCTCTCTGGCATTCTCAGTAGCCAAAAATCACTCAAAATTTCCCCCTTTTCGGACCTCTCTTTAGGAATAAGTTCAAATGAGGCAGTGAAGATTTTCTTTCTTTACTCATCAGATGGTTGAGCTTTGCTGTATCTTGGCGTGGCAGCTTAAGCTTTTGCAGCCATGGCGAGGTTTAGCTTATGCTTGAGAGATGGCGAATCTGAGCTTCCAGTGGCTTCTCATATGAAAAATGAGAGAATCAAACAGTCCTTTAAATGTTGGGATCTTACACAAATAACCCGTCTGATTCACCGTTTACTTACACAAATACACTAATTATATACGGTCATACATGTTTTACGTGGATTATACATATTTTATACATCTGCCGGCTACTTTAGTTTAGGCGGTTGGGTGGATGGCTATTTAGGTTAATTCTTCTTAAATGTTTGGGTATGGATTCACCAAAAGGTACAAACAACAACAACAACAAACTCAGTTTGATCCCATAAATGGGGTCTGGGGAGGGTAGTGAGTACGCAGACCTTACCCCTACCTCATAGAGATAGAGAGTCTGTTTTTGATAGACCCTCGGCTCAAGGAGGATTCACCAGAAGGTAAAAGTAGAAATATTGCTTCTTTAAAAGACTGTCTTGGCGGGGCAACCAGGATGGCAAGTTATCTTTGTGTCATGCAGCCGGTGTTTGCAGCCATGGTCATGTCTTCGTTCTCTTGTCTTATCAACACTTCTGAGCCTTAGTTTTACTCTTACTGCTTTAGTCATAGATCTCAGTGTGTTTTTTTGGGGAATTTGCACAAATAGCCTTTTGTGAGGCAGCGATGATAATTATGTTCACTTTCTTGGCTAACAGAATCGGGCATTGAGGACAATCAGATCCGTATCTTGGCCTGGCAAATCCCTTCTTGTGGATGCAAATGGTGATTTGCAGCCATGGCGTGGTTGCCTGCACTTTGGAATAACACACAAAAGGGAATTCACTTCCAAGAGGAATAATTAGGGACATCCTCAGCAGGTTACCTGTGTGGTCTCTTCTTCGATTCAAACGTGTTTCAAAATATTGGAATACATTAATCTCTGATCCTTACTTTAAGATGAAGCATCAGAATGACCAAAATCCCCAATATTTTCTTGTTAGCCAAAGGTGCCTTGATAAGGTGATATGTATAACTTCAATTGTTATTCTTTATCGTCGATTGATGTACAAAAGTTTTGATTGTCCTTTAAACTGTAAACCAAGGTGTTATGTAATGTTATGTTTTGATTGTCTCTTAAAAGAAAAATCTCAAGGAAACATAATTCGCACCCTGTGAATTTTTTTACTCAAATGGTCCTTTATGTTAAGGAGCTGAACTTAACTCATGCCTACAACTCCTCATAAAGACGAGAGAGACAGAGAGTGAGTTGAGTTCTGAGGCTGAGATGATACTTTCTTCTCTTCTTGGGGCAAGAGAAATAAAGGGACTCATATCTTGACAGGGCAACCCGGATGGCTACCGGTGTTTGCAGCGATGGCAGATGTCTTCATTCTCTTGTCTTATCAACAAATCTGAGCCTCAATTTTACTCTTATAGCTTGTTTGGATGGTTGTACCTATTGTACTGTATTGTTATTTAAAAGGGTGTCTTTGGTATGATGGAAAATATTTTTCATGATGAAATCAGTGTTTGGTTACTTATGTATTCATATGAGAAAAGATAAGTTGGGAAATTTTCCTAAAATTCTTCCCAGAAAGAGAAATGAGGTTAATAGAGGGAAGGGATTTTCTTCTAACAGTGGTTGCCCCTTTCTTTTGTGCCAATGATTTTCTTTAGCTGCTAAACCTAAGCCCTTGTTCATGAAATACACAGAAACAGCAGCTATGATCATTGAAGCATATGCATGGATTTTCTTCAATCTACTGCTTCATTCATAGATCTCAGTCTGTATTTTTGCAGGGAATTTGCACAAATAGCCTTTCATGAGGCAGTGATGATAATATGCACTTTCTGGGCTAACAAAATCGGGCATCGAGGACAATCACTCGTATCTTGGCCTAGCAAAGCCACAGATGGCCTGCAATTGAGGCTCTCTCTTTTGCATGCAACCGTTGATTTTGCAGCCATGGCGTGGTTCCCTTCACTTTGCCTGATCAAAATGCTAAATCTGAGCCTCAAATTGCTTTAAAAGACTGACTTTGAGAAGAGTAATAAGCAGACACAAAATCTCAGAGAGAAGAGAGGAGGCTTGCAGAGAGGAGTTCTTCAAAGGGTGGTTGCCCCTCTCTGCAACTTCAGTGACTCCTCATGTGAAACAAAAATCAAAGAACCCTTTAAGTTGGCGTTTGGACATAAGAATTATGAAATCCCGGAAAAAAGTGAAGTTCTTTTTCAAGTGAAAATGCTCCTTTATGTTAAGGAGTTGAACTAAGAGCCTGTTGGATTAGCTGAATTTAAGTAGCTTTTAAGTGGATGAGAGAGAATTCAGAGGCTATGATGATTGTCTTCTCTTCTTTCTCTGAGCAAAAACCAACGGGGCAAGAGATATTAAGGAACCCGTATCTTGGTGGGGTGACCCGGATGGCAAGTGATCTTTGTGTCATGCAACCGGTGTTTGCAGCCATGGCGATGTCTTCATTCTCTTGTCTTATCAACAGATCTGACCTCAATTTTACTCTTATTGCTTCTGTCATTTATCTCAGTGTTGCTTCTTTGCTTCTGGGGAATTTGCACAAATAGCCTTTTTTTGAGGGTGAAGTACACAAATAGCCCTCAAAGTGGATGATCTTCAATTTTTTTGCCCCGCTTGCCCCATGGGCAGAACTTCAAGTTTAACAAGTGTTGCACCTCACTTACCTCATGAGCAACAGTTTCAACTTTTGACCTTGAAGTGCCCCCATGGGGCAAGCGGGGATCAAAAGTTAAAGATCACCCCAAAAGTGTCATATTTCCGCAATTATTTTGTTTTTCTTCTGAGGCAGTGATGATAATATTATTTCACTTTCTGGGCTATCAGAATCGGGCATTGAGGAAAATAAGGGGACCTGTATCTTGGCGGGGCAACCCGGTTGGCGAGTGATCTCTCATGCAACCGGTGCTTGCAGCCATGGTGATGTCTTCTTTCTGTTGTCATATTTTCAATTCAACATATCTGAGCCTTATTTTTCTCTTGTGGTGTCTTTGCTATGATGGAAAATATTTATCATGATGGATCAGTATTTGTTTACCAATTTATCCATATGAGAAGAGAAAAGTTGGGAAATTTTTGGGTGAAAGCCAAGAATTTTCCAAAATGAAGTCAGCTCAGAAAGAGAAATGAGGTTAAGGCCTCATTTCTTTGCACTTAATGAGGGTCCGAATCTGGATGAATCAGATCTTAGCCCATTAAGTATATTTGTTTTTTTATTTTTAAAAAGTCTGGATAGGTCTGGTTGGGTCTGATTCGGCCAGACCTTTAATTGAGTCTTAATTCCGTTCAGAGGTTGAAAATACACGCCTCTTTTTTGGGTGCTCCTTTTCTCTCTCTTGACATCAGGCTATTTCTTCTAAACCCAAAACAAATTTCATCCTTCACACGTCTCTCTCTTCAAGGATCAAGCAGCCGCCGAATCTTTTTCTGGGTAAGATTTTGAAAATTATACTTGGAATTCTCAACGCAGTAAAGTGGATAAGGGTGGCTGCCCCTCTCTGTTTTGCCAATGATTTTCTTTAGCTACTAAACCAACAGCGCTTGTTCATGAAATACTCAGAAACAGAAGCTATGAACCATAGACCTCAGTGTGTGTGAGACTTCTTAACTGAAAAGCCCGTGTAAGTCTTGATTTAAGAAACTAGTTTGTGTGTGTATGTTTCTTTTTCCTGATTTTGAGTAATTTTACAAAAGAGGCAGTGATGATAATGTCTCACTTTCTGGGCTAACAGAATCAGGCATTGAGATAATCTGACCCGTATCTTGGCCTGGCAAATCCTCTCTTGTGCATTCAACTGGTGATTTTGCAGTCATGGCGTGGTTGTCTTCTCTTTCCCTGATCAAAATGCAGGTTTGAGCCTCAAATTTCTGGACATTGAAACTGGTTACTCTTGTTCTTTGGAATTTATTGATTTTGGCCCAAATTTAGCCCAGAAAGGACGAATGAGACATCAGAGAGATGGTATTTTCAGTAAAGGGTGGTTGCCACTCTCTGCTATGTCCATGATTTCTCCATTCATGAAACCAACAGCCCTTTGAGAAAAAAAAAGCGAATAAAAAACCATCTAAACAACATCTGTTGAGTATTTGCCCCTGTGAAGGGACTATACTCTTCCTTTCTCTGCTTTTGCTTCTGATTTAAACAAATAGCTACTTTTGTTGCCTTGTACTTAGAAAGCCATAACTGATGTTGATCTTCGCAGATCACCTGAAATGGGCTGTGATGATGAGTGCTTCTTTCTGTGTTATCCACTTTACTGCGATGAGAAATTCCGATCCATATCTTGGCGGCCCGACCCGGTATGGCATTCATTTGCAAACTGGTGTCTTGCAACCATGGCGTCTCTTTTTCTTTGCATGTTCATATACAGCAAAATCTGAGCCCTAAAGTCTATGACAACCGTTTGATGGTCTTCTTAGGCTTGCAGCCATGTCAGGGTTTAGCTTATGTCTCTGAAAAGGTTAATCTGAGACTCCCAAGTATCTGTTTGTGTTCAAAGAATGAGGATTACTATGGAACTTGAGAAAGGTTGAGATTTTCTAAGGGTGGTTACTCTCTTTCTCCAAAGTTCTATTTAGCCAATGAATATTTCTTTACCTTTGTTACGAAGAGACAAATTTACATCCCTTTCATCGGCAAAATGCCAATTATGGGAATGACGAGGCTAAATTATCGCAATATTAAGCAGTGAATAAGTATTCACCAGAGGGCAAAAGTAGAAATATTGCTGCTTTAAAGGACTGACTTTGAGACGAACAATAAGTAGTCACAAAAGCTCAGAGAGAAGAGAGGAGTTCTTCAAGGGTTGTTGCAACTCAGTGACTTCTCATATGAGAAAAATATCAAGCCACCCTTTAAATCTCAGGGAAATTGTACACATATTTAACCACTCGGCCAATGTTACTCTGCTTCTTGTTTTATGGTTTTCTAAACTCAAGATGGTCCTTATGTTTCGGAGTTGTACTAAATTCATGTGTGCAACTCCTCACCCTAAAAAAGAAGAAACTGAGGCTGTGCTGATACTTTCTTCTCTTCTTTATCTGAGCAAATCAATGAGCAAGAGAAATACAGGGACCTGTATCTTGGCGGGGCAATCTGGATGGCAAGTGATTTTTGTCATGCAATTGGTGTTTGCAGCCATGGCGATGCCTTCATTCTCTTATCTTATCGACAGATCTGAGCCTCAGTTTTACTCTTAATAGCTTGTTTGGATGGTTGTTACCCATTGTATTATGTTGTCATTTTAAATAGGTTCTTTGGCATGTAGGAAAATGTTTTTCTGATTAAACCAGTGTTTGATTACTCATTACCGATATATACCTATGAGAAGAAGAAAGATTGGAATTTTCAGGTCACAAAAGAGGCAGTGATGATAATAATGTTTCACTCTGAGAAAAATCCGGCATTGAGACAATCTGACCCGTATCTTGGCCTGGCAAATCCCCTCTTGTGCACGCAACGGGTGATTTTGCAGCCATGGTGTGGTTCTCTTCACTTTGTCCGATCAAAATTGCAAAATGTGAGCCTCAAATTTCTACATCATTTTAGACGAAAACACCTTTCCATTTCAAGCTAAGCAGTAAACAAATAGTATTCAGCAGAGGGAAAAACTAGAAAGGTTGGTGCTCTAAAAGACTTAGCTTTGACACAAGCAAATGATAAATAAGCCCAGAAAGAAGAATGAGGCTAGCAGAGAGGAGTTTTTACATGGGTGGTTGCCCCTCTCTGCAACACCCGTGACTTCTCATATGAAAAAAAATCAAACAGCCTTTAAATATCAGGGAAATAGTGTTGTCCAAACATAAAACACTCGGCCAATGATGCTCTGCTCTTGTTTAAATGTTTTTGGCTCAAATTGGTCCTTATGTTTAGGAGTTGTAATAAATTCATCTCTTCACCCAAAAAAAAAAAAAGAAACTGAGGCAGTGATGATAGTTTCTTCCTTCTTGCTTCCTTCTTTCTCTGAGCAAATGAATCGGGTTGTATCTTGTGGGGGCAACCCGGATGGCAAGTGATCTTTGTATCATGCAACCAGTGTTTGCAGCGATGGTGATGTCTTCATTCTCCTTTCTTATTAACTGATCTGAGCCTCAACTTTACTCTTTGGGTGTTTTGGTATGATAGAAAACATTTTTTATGATGAAATCATGTACTTGGTTACCAGTGTATCCCTATGAGGAGAGAAAAGTTGTGAAATTTTCAGGTGAGAGCCAAGAATTCCTAAAAGAAATCAGCCCAGAAAGAAATGAAGTTAAGGGTGGTTGCCCCTCTGTTTGTTCCACTGATTTTCTTTAGCAACTAAACCAACAGCCGTTGTTTAAGAAATGCTCAGAAACAGAAAATGAATCCATATATCTCAGTGTGTGTGCGTGTGTGTTCTTGGGGAATTCGCACAAATGGCCTTTTTTTGAGGCAGTTATGATAATAATGTCACGTTCTGGGCTAACAAAATCGGGCATTGAGGACAATCCGGGCCATTTCCTTGCCTGGGATGGCCTACATTTGATGCTCTCTTTTGCATGCACTCGGTGATTTTGCAGCGATGGCGTGGTTGCCTTCTCTTTGTCCGTGCAAAATGCAGTATCCGAGCCTCAAATTCCTAGGAATCAAACTTGTGACCTCTTGTGCTTTGAACAGTGCTCCCGATTTCAGCTCAAGCTAGTGAACAAAAGAATGAGGTATCACAGAAGGCTACTTTTGCTTCTCAGGTATACCCGTGATTTCAATCCAAAAAGCACTTTCTTTTCTCAGTGAATGTAGTTGATAGATAGACATATAATTAAAAAAATTATGATGCTGTGATGATAATGATAGTCTTTTCCCGTCTTTCTCTGAGCAACTCAATCGAGAAGGGATCCCTATCTTGGTGGGGCAACCCAAATGGCGAGTGATTTCCTGTCATACAACCGGTGCTTGCAGTCATGGCGATGTCTTCATTCTCTTGTCATATTCTCAATATCTGAACCTCATTTTTTCTCTTATGGTGTCTCTGGTATGATGGAAAATATTTATCATGATGTAATCAGTATTTCGTACCAATGTACCCCTATGAGAAGAGAACTTGGGAAATTTTCAGGAGAGAGCCAAGAATTTTCCTATAAAAAGGTCAGCCCAGAAAGAGAGTTGAGGCTAACAGAGGGAAGGGAATTTCTGTTAAGGGTGGTTGCCCCTCGCTGTTGTGCCAATGATCTTCTTTAGCTACTAAACCAACAGCACTTGTCATGAAAACTCAGAAACAGTTTCTTCAGTCTGCAGCTTCAGCCATAGATCTATGTGTGTGCTTTTTTCTGTTCCCGCCTTTTTAGTATTGTACAGAAGAGGCAGTGATGATAATCTTTTCAGGGCTAACAAAAAATGGCATTGAGGACAATATGACCCGTATCTTGGCCTGGCAAGTCCCTGGATGGCCTGCATTTGAGGCTGATTACACTCTTTTGCATGCAACAGGTGATTTTGCAGCCATGGCGCTGTTGCATTCTCTTTGTTCGGGCAAAATTCGGTATCTGAGCCTCAGATTTCTGTGAATCGAACACCTCTTGTGCTTTGAAATGTGTAACGTTTGCTCCAAATTTTAACTCTTGCTAAGTATCAAACAAGTAAGGTATCACATAAAGATGTGTACTTTTTCTTCTCAGAGATTTCTATCCAAAAGCACACAACTATATAGATAGATATATAGTTAGAAAATTGCTGCTTTTTTGCAAACCCGAATCTAAAGGAAAATGAAAGACATGATGAACAAGACATTGGACTTGTATTCAGTGCCTTAAGTTTGCTTTAAGTTCACATTGGCTTCTTGCTTAATCTCTCTGTTGCTAGAAGGAAATAAAGGTTTCTCTAACTGGTCTTTTTGATTAGAAATTTGTGGTTTCTTTACATTTTCCTTAAGCATGAAAGGCCGAGAAAGGTATGCTTGAGAAATTAGCAGGACCTCTCAATGGTAAGATGTAAAATGGAGGTCAAATTGGGGTGTATATCATTGTTGCCGTCTTCTGCTGCTTTATAGTTGCTAACTCCACGACCACCTGTCAACATAGCGGTTCTGACGAAAAATATCTTAAGTCAGGTTTGGGATCTAATGAAACTGTATCTTGGCCAGGCAATCTAGATGTTACTGGAATTACAGCCACGGCAGTGACTTCCTTCTTTCTCTGAGCAAATGAATCAATAAAGAAAACAATGGGCATATATCTTGGATGGCAACCCCAATGGCAAGTGATTTTTTGTGTCATGCAACCGGTGTTTGCAGCCATGACAATGTCTTCGTTCTATTGTCTTATTTTCTTCAACAGATCTGAGTCTCAAATTTTTTCTTGGGGTGTCATTGGCATACAACAACAACTGAGCCTCAAGCCCAAAAAAATCGGGGTTGGCTACATTAATCCTCAATGTCCATGCCACGTCATCTAAGCTCATGTCAGTCTAATATAAAATGTTTGGGACCCTAATGGATCGGGAATTTTAACCTAACGTGAATCGAACACGCAACCTTCTGATCTGGAGTCAGACGCGCTATATTGCACCATGACAAGTCAGCCTAGAGAGAGAATTGAGGCTAACAGAGAGAAGGGATTTTCTCCTAAGAGTGGTTGCCCCTCTCTGTTTGTGCCAATGATTTTCTTTAGCTGCTAAATCAACAGCCCTTGTTCATGAAATACTCAGAAAGGTCACTCTGATCATGTAAGAACATGCATTAATCTCCATATGTTGTCAATCCGCAGCTTCAGCCATAAACTTGTGTCTGTATGTGTGTTTTTAGCACGTTTCTTTTTCCTCATTTTGAATAATAGAGGCAATGATGATGTTAATTGCTGGGCTGACAAAATCGGGCATTGATCCAACCCGTATCTTGGCTTGGCAAATGGACGGTTTTTGCAGCCATGGCGTGGTTGCCTTCTCTTTGCCTGATCAAAATGCAGATATGAGCCTCAGATTTCTGGGAATCGAACCTGGGTCCTCTTGTTCTTTGAAATATATTAATGTTTGGTCCAAATTTTAGCTCAAGCTTCAGACCAAAAGAATGAGGTGCCAGAGGAGATGGGTACTTTTCTTCTCTGGTAAGCCCATGATTTCAAAACCAAAAGCACTTCACTTTCTCATTGACTGTGGTTGACAATTAGATACATGGGTAGAAAAATTTCCATGTAAACGCAAAATCAATCTACCGACTATGCTCAATCCCTGGACATAAATGATTGGAAATGCCATAGGAAGGTATTGAACGTTCGACCTTGTGGATAATAGCCACACGCTTTTACCAACTGAGCTACACCATGTGAACCCAAGTCAGATGAGAAGAAGTTGTGTGGAGAAAATGATAGATAAATAAATAAATGATGGGGCTATGATGAAATTCTTCTTAGAAAATGCAATGAAGCATTCAGATAATTTGCGCCGTAGCTTGGCAGGGCGACCTGGTTAGCGTTTATGGTAACATGCTGAAAGTTTGCAGCCATCACGGTGTTGAAAGACTGAATGAGACTTGAACAAGATCTGAGCCTAAAATGTATGGATTATTTGGTATTTCTGCTTGCACTTGACCCTTTGTATTTCAAATTGTTTCCGTGTAATGGCGATAGTGACTTGCTGTCTTGCTTAAACGATCTCATTTTTCGGTATTTTTTGCTAGATTTTGTCTCTGCAGTTGACTTGCTGACTAATCTGCTGCTACAGCAGTTGAGTTGCACAAATAGCCGATTTTATGACCCCTTGTATTTAGAACAAGGTAGAAATGACACAAGGTAGCCACTTTAAATGCTGCTAATAATGGGCTATGATGATTTGATTCTTTCTTTCTGGTCTATCCTTCACCAGCTTTGAGGTAATCTGTCCCGTATCTTGGCGGGGCAACCCGGTATGGCATCTTCTGCAAACCGGTTTTGCAGCCATGGCATGGTCACTATCTCTTTGCATGTTCATAAAAGCAAAATCTGAGCCCTAAAAGTTTTACGACAACCATTTGATGGTCTTGAATGATGGTCGATCTCTGGAACTGGAAATCCAATTGGGTTCTTCAGTTTTTTCTTGAACACCAATTGTCAGATGCAGTTCTCCATCAATTTTTTTGCTCAAAACTGAGGAATCGGAGAAAAATGGGGATTTCAGGGTGGTTGACCATCTCCGGCATGGCAAGGATTTCTATGTTGCTCCAGACGAACATCCCTTTCTGAGTATGCATGCATCTATGTCTCTATCTTTGTTAATACTTGTTAATACTGTGCTCCTGCGTGGCTGCGTCTTGAGGCAAAGAAGGTTAATTCTTCTTCTTGCTGGGCTATATCTACTTTATATATGCATTGAGAAAATCCGACCCTGTATCTTGGCGGGGCAATCTGTGTATGGCAATCATCTGCAAACCGGTGTCTGCAGCCATGGCGTGTGTCCCTTTCTCTTTGCAGTTTACAAAAAACAGATGTTGTTTATATATGTGTGTTTGTTTAACCAAACCCCATACATTTAGGACCATTTTGTTCATTTTCTCTCGGTTTTCTGTTACTGTTATGCTATGTTCCTCACAGGCTGCATTCTATGGCAAAGCAACAGCAGTAACATACAACAATGAAATTTAAAAGGAAAATGATGGGGCTGTGATGATTGGTTGTTATTAAGCATATGGAACCTGGCATTATAGTTTCAGGCCTGTATCTTGGCGGGGCAACCTGTTTTTTAGGGCTTGCAGCCATGGCAGTGTCAAAGAACTCATTGCCTGAGATCAATTACTTATCTGAGCCTCAAGTCTTTCTGAAATGGCTGAATACATCGATGGCCCCTCAAACTTGTCAAATTTTTTCATTTAGACATCTGAACCAATGGTGGTTCTATTGACCACCTGAACTCGAGTCAAACTGTGTCTATTAGACACATGTTGCTGAAGTTGTCCATACGGGCTCTTATGGAAAAAGCTTACATTTTCCGGAAGAGGCAGTGATGATATTGCTAATCTGGGCATTATAACTGAGAATCCAACTGTATCTTGGCGGGGTAACCCGGTATGGCATCATTTGCAAACCGGTGTCTGCAGCCATGGCCTGTGATGCTTTTCTCTTTGCACTAGTTCATAGAACAGCAAAATCTGAGCCCTAAAAGTTTTACGGCAGCCATTTGATGGTCTTGAATGGATGGTCGTTCTCTGGAACCGGAAAAATGGAGGTTCAGTCCAGTAGAAGAATGAGGCCAACAGAGAGAAAAAAGGAATTCTTGTGAAGGTGGTTGCCCCCGCTGCTTGGCCTATGATTTCTCCATCAACCAAACCAACAACACTCGTCAGCTTTCTGATTTCTCTGAGTTTAAACTATCCGTTTGATCTCAGCGTTAGTTTGTCAAAAATTGTCTGAATTGTCCAAACAGGCTATATATGGAAAAGTTACCATTTCTCTAGAGGTAGTGATGATATTGCTAAACCTGGGATAATATTCGGGGCGTGGAGACAATTCTATCCCTATCTTGGCAGGGCAAGCTCGGATGGTTTGTGATCAAGGCTTCTCTTTTACATGCAACTGGTTCTTTTGCAGCCATGGCATCGTCGTATTCTCTTTGCCCCATTTTTTTGTAGATCTGAGCCTCAGTTTCCAACTAGTACATCTGGACTTATCTGCTTTTCAGGACTTGAACCAGGACGTCTATAACCCATTTGTGTTATTCATTTTTTCTTGTTTGTTGCAGTTCTCCATCAGACTTTTAGCGAATGAGGCAATTGGAGAAAAAAGTATTTTCGAGGTAGTTGAACACCTCCATCATGTCTATGATTTCTATTTCCTTTAGTAAACAGCTTTTTCTGTTTATGTGTGGGTTTGTTTAACCAACCCCTATACATTAAGGACCATCTTGGTCATTTCTCTCTGTTTTCTGTTACTGTTATACTCTGTTCCTCAGAGGCTGCGTATCTATGGCAAGCAACAGCAAAAGCGTACAACAATGAAAGGGAAAAGGAAAATGATGGGGCTGTGATGATTGATTGTTATTAAGCATATGGAACCTGGCATTTCAAACCTGTTTCGAAAAATGCTTTTCTTGAGCCTAGGGTCTACTGGAAACAACCTCTCTACCCCACAAAGTTAGGGGTAGGGTCTGTGTACACCCCTCCCTCCCTAGGCCCCACTTGTGAGATCACACTGGGTATATTGTTGTTGTCGTTGTAACCTGGCATTGTAGTTTCAGGCCTGTATCTTGGCGGGGCAACCCATATTATAGGTTTTTCAGCCATGGCAGTGTCAAAGAACTCATTGTCTACTTCGAAAAATAAATCCTGAACTAATGGTGGTGTACCTCTTGATCACCTAAATCGAGCGAAACTGTGCCTATTCGACACACGTTGCTCAAGTTTCCCAAGTGGGCTCTCAATCTATGCTCTGATGCTACTAATTGGTCCCTTATTGAGGCAATGATGATCTTCCAATCTATGCTCCTATGCTACTAATTGAGCATTGAGAGTACCCGACTCGTATCTTGGCTGGGCAATGACCCGGATGCTTGTGATTTTGTGAAAAGTTGCATGCAACTGGGGGATATTTGCTGCCATGGCGTGTCAGGACTTACTTTTCCTGTGCATAAATACACATCTGAGCCTCAATTGTCACTTGTATCTTACTTTGGGTGTATTTGATATGGAGGAAAATGTTTCAGTGAAGCACCCCTAAAGTGGCTGCCTGGTATAATTTCTGCAATTAAGACCTTCGACATGAGGCCCATAATTTTGGGAGGTCCAAAAGGATTAGGGCACACTATAATATCAAGCAGAAGGAAATACGAAAATGGCAAAAATCTCATTACTTCAAGTTTGAGGCTGCTGCCACTCTCTGTCATTCTCAGCAGAAGGTGAAACTAAAATGGTGAAAATCTTTGAGTGGTTGTTGCCCCCCTCTGTCATTCTTAGCAACCAATGATCACCCAAATTTCCTATTTTCGAATCACTCTTTAGCAATTAAGTTCAATGAGGCAGTGAAGATTTTGATTCTTTGCTCATCAGATGGTTGAGCTTGCTATATCTTGGCGTCGCATCTTTTGGGGGTTTTGTGAGTGGGATCTATTTTGGTTTCTGTGTTTCAGTCTTCTTAAGCTTGCAGGCTGCAGCCATGGTGGGGTTTAACTTATATCTTAGAAAGCATCTGTTTGTGTTCAACGAATGAGGCTTTTTATGGGACTTGAGAAAGGTTGAGATTTTCTTAGGGTGGTCGCTCTCCTTCTCCGAAGTTCAATTTAGCCAATGAATTTTCCTATGTTTGTTACAAAGAGAAAGATTAACAGCCCTTTCATCAGCAAAATGCCAATTATGGTGATGATGCTGATGCTGATAGCCATAGTTATGGTAGTAATAAGGAAAAGGCCAAATTCATGGATAGTCCTTAAAAGTTCGCTCGATTTGCCAGTTATTTTGTCACTTAAACTTGTCCCTAGAAATCCTTTTGTACTTGGATCAACAACAACAACAACAACAACAACTCAGTAGAATCCTAAACCGTAAACTTTGCGAATGAGGCTATGATGATATTCTCCAGGAAGCTTGAAAGTCTTGACAGTCAGATCATTTAGCTGATTTGTATCTTGGCTACGAAAAGGCAGGTTAATTTGTGAGGTGGATTGCTATGTGCTCTCTCAGAAGGTGTCTGCTTCTTGCAGCCATGGCGGATTAGCCCATTCTTCTGATAGATTTTAAGGCAAATCTGAGCCACTTTTCTGTGTTCAGTTTAGTTTTAGGATGTGATGCTTTTTTTCTTTCACATTTACTACCAAAATTCCCAAACATTTCTGGTTAGCCTATGGTACCTTTCTGAGGATGAGTTTTCCTTGTATTGTTCTTCTTTATCGTCAGTTCAATTGGTTGAGGATGTACAAAAGCTTAATTGGCCTTCAAAGGGTAAACCATGGAGTTGCAGAATCTACTGTTATTGCGATGGCTTGTTTCTTGTTGGGGTTCGTAATCCTGATAAACACCTCATATGGACTCTTTGGCATTAGTACATGGAGCATTTCATTGTCTTTGCTTTGTCACTAAATAATTTTGTGGTTTTAGTATTTCAAATGAGGTGTACGGAGAGATACTGTTGCCAGAGGGATTGTGCTTGATTTTAAACGTGGCGTACATAAAAAATGACGTTTCAGTATTGGGAGGAATGCTTTGTGGTTATTCTACTTATGACCATCAGGGGAAGGACACTTTCAAGTTATGAGTAATGAAAGACTATGGTGTCAAGAAATCTTGGAATAATTTGTTTAATATACAAGGTACCGAGGAGGCTGTGATGATATTGTTGAAATGGGTTGATATTCAGGGCATGGAGAACATCAGACCCGTATCTTGGCAGGGCAAACCCGAATAGTTTGTGATTGAGGCCTTCTCTGTCACATGCAACCGGTTCTTTTGCAGCCATGGCGTAGTCGCCTTCTCTTTGCTCCATTTTGAGCGGATCTAAGCCTCAATTGTCTCTTATATCTTACTTTGGGTGTATTTGATATGGAGGAAATTGTTTCACTGAAGCAGCCCTAAAAGTGGCTACCTGGTGTCATTTCTACAAATAAGACCTTTCACACGAGGCCTATAATTTTGGGAGGTCAAAAAAATTAGGGCACTATAGTATGAAGCAGAAGGTGAAATGAAAACGGCAAAAAACCCATTAGTTTAAGTTTGTGGTTGCTGGATTTTGATAGTTGTGGCGAGTTGTTCGTGTGGTTGCCCCTCCATTTCATTCTTAGCAGCCAATGATCACCCAATGTTTCCCAATTTCAAACTATTCTTTAGCATATTAAGTTCACTGAGGCAGTGAAGATTTGTATTCTTTACTCATCATTTGGTTATCGGAGCTATCTAGGTTTCTGTATCTCGCGAATGCTTGTTAAGTCTGCAGCCATGGCGGGGTTTAGCTTATGTATGAGAAAAGGCAAATCTGAGCCTCCCACATAGCTGTTTCTGTTTAAAAAAATGAGGTTTCTTAAGGAACTCGGAGAATGGTTGAGATTTTCCAAGGGTGGTTACTCCCTTTCTCTGAAGTTCAATGTTGCCAATGAATTTTCCTGTACTTCTCTTACCAAGCGAAAGACTAACAGCCCTTTCATCAGAAAAATGCCAGATATGTTCTATAAGATGGGAAAATATATATTTTGCCCCCTAAACTAGTATCAAAAACCCGAATCCTAAACCCTAAACTTTGTGAATGAGGCTATGATGATATTCTCCAGGACGCTTGCAGGTCAGACTTTTGAGCTGATTCGTATCTTGGCTAGGTAAAGGCAAGGGAATTTGTGAGGTGGGTTCTTATGTGCTCTCACACAAAGGTCTCTGCTCTTTGCAGCCATGGTGGATTAGCCTTTTTCTGATAGATCAAATCTGAGCCTCTTTTTCTTTGTTAAGTTTAGTGCTACTATGGGTCTGTTTCTCTTGTTCTTTAATTATTTTTATGTTAACGTTGTAGAATATTGGTCTGAGATGATCTTTTTCCTGCTTTTGCATAATATCAGGAAGAATCACAGTTCAAAAGAAAACTGTTATGTGTTTATCTACATATTTTCCATTAGTAAATTATTAGGTAGTGATATGAAACAAGTCCAAAGGGAATAGAAGTGAATATTGAGGATTCATATATTGTTTTTAACCAGTTTGATATTGAAGCTAATTGCTGAAGTTATCTTCACAATTTTCCAAACTTTCAGGCCTTATTTACAACAACAACAGCCCAGTGTGGTCCCACAAGTGGGGTCTGGGGAGGGTAGTATGTACGCACCCTTACCCCTACCCTGGAAGGGCAGAGAGACTGTTTCCGATAGACCCTCGGCTAAAGAAGGTGAGAGAAGACCCAGTGTGGCCTTATTTCTATCTTTGAAATTCCAAGTTTTCAGAGGCAATGAAGATCATTCATATAATGAAAAGGAAAAGTGGAAAAGATAAGAGTTGATTCCTTGCCTGGCTTGGCAAGACCGGTCTTTCCTATAAGGCAACCGATGATTGCAGCCATGGCAGTGTTCACTCTGTTATTTCCTTTGGTTAAATAGGCAGAAATCTGGGGCTTATCCTCAACTTGGTTTATTCACATTTTCTTTTTTTGACAAGTCTTTCTGGAACTATTCTAGACTAGAAGTATTTTCGTGGTTCTTTTTGTTCTATTATTTGGAATTCAGGTTCTCCGCTATTCTGACTGGTTACTGGTTTATTACAGATTGGAGAGAGTTATGGTATCTCCAACATCCCAGGATCATCTGTCTTCATACATAGCCAAATTCTAACTTGTTCCGTGCTTTGAACAAGTTTTAAGCTAATTCTCCTTATTTCAATCTTAAAAATCCCAAGTTTCAGAAGCAGTGAAGATTATGTATAATGAAAACGAAAAGTGAAAAATGTTTAATTCATGGCCTGGCTTGGCGACCAGTTGGTTTGGTTACATTTTCTTTTTTGACAAGTCTTTCTGGAAATAATTCTAGACTAGAAATATTGTTGTGGTTCTTTTTGGTCTATTATTTTATCTTCAGGTTCTCCTTTACCCTGATTCCTGACTGGTTACTGGTTTGTTACAGATTAGAGGTAGTTATGGTATCTCCGATTTACCAGGATAATTTGACTTTGTGAGAGCTAAATTCCAACTCGTTCAGTGCTTTGAACAAGTTCTAAGCTAATTCACGTTAGTTCTCTTGCTCTCTTCGATGAGTACATGCTGCAGTTCAAGAGAGGCCTGATCGCCAACACCTGCGGGGAATGAAGAAAACCGGTCAGTTTAAGAACTAAACTTATCTAGCAGCTGGTTGACTTGTCTAAAATTGAATTCTGACTCCATAGAGTGAAACTTCAAGCAGTTCTCTTATATATAGGAACTAAGATTTTGTTGGTGATCTCTTGTGCATAATTGAAACTGAGGTGTAGATTCAGCATAGAACTGACCTTTCTAAGATTCTTGAAATCATTTCCGATACATTTGAGCAGAAGATTGATGTTCATTAGAATTCTTAAAAGATCAAGTATTGTGTGCCTTTAGATCCTGTCTTTTCTTTCTTTTTTTCTTATTCTTTTTATATTATTAATCAAAGATAATGCACTTGTTCAAGTGTGCTTCATTGTTACTGTGAATTTTGTGAAAGTGCATTGTTACTGTACATTTTTTCACTTTTAAAATCAGAAAATTCGCCGCTTTAAAACATAAAGATTAACCGCTCAACAACAAAATCACTACTATGCTTTTTGCACAATTCATAACCATTGGTGTGAATATATTCTGGAATACTCTAATTTTTTTTTCCCAAATCAATAACTTAGGATGTATACATTATGTTAAGATTCTAAAACACTTTGAACTTTGTAAAAAAATTAAATATTCTTCATTACTAGTATATGATTTTAACACAATATAACTTATGTGTAAATATTATGAAATACTATAATTATTTGCCTCAGTACTGCTTTTTACTTGAAAGCAAAGTTCGACAACAATGTCTTTAAATGTTCGAATTTCTGCGAATAATGCATTTGTCAGTGTAACAAGTGCAACTGAACCTGAAGTCTCTATAGATTTGATGTATCGAAACATCTCTCAAATGTGGATTGAATATTTGAAAAATAAACTGAGAGCCGAAATATATGAAAGAGTTTACCCGATCAATAATGCGAAGATTGACTTCCAGTATATTTGCGTATGTAAAAATATTATATAGTATGTGTAGACAATAAATTTGGTTCGAGAAAATAAAATCAAGACCGAAAAATATTGCAACAATCGTAGTATTTTATTTCAAATATTTGAGTGTTACAATCTCTATGAATCCTCTGATTCTTCTTTCCAATGGTAAATAAATTCAAGGGCCTTGGAGCTTGATCTTGAATATATGTTTGTTGTCACGAACGATGATCTTGTTCTTGAGCTTGAGCTTGATTGCTTGAACTTGACCTTGATTTGTTCTTCGTTCTTGAACTTGAACTTGATTTCTTCTTCGTTCTTGAGCTTGAACTTGAACTTGAAGCTTGAAACTTGTGGAGGAATTTGCAGCGTTTGATCCACGAGCTCTTTCTTGCTTCTTGTTATAACTTCTGGTGTCTTTTCTGAGTTATGAAGACCCCTATTTATAGTTGTGGAAGGGAGGAGTTGTGGTAAGAACAAACTCTTTCCGACCAATCAAATTGAAGTGTGACATGGCCTCATTTGATTGGCCAGAACATGTCACTTGCACATGTGGCGCGATTTCATTGGCCTTTTAGTGTGACTTGGGCATGCCTTGTCATTTTGACACGTGGCATGGTCCTATTGGCTCTTCCGCTTGACTTGACGCGCCATATCATTTGACACGTGGCACTGGGCCTCTAGGAAAATGATATCTTGGGCCTAATGAGGTGGGCTCATCATTTGTAGCCCAAATAAATGGACTAGCCCAGTCAATATTTATTGTACTTAAATAATTAATTCAATTATATTAGCCCATAATATTTATTTGGACTAGTATATTTAAAATATAATCCAAATAATTTATTGAATTTGAATCCAATAAATTTTACATGTCTACAAATACCCCCTACTTCAAAGCTGATCGGGTACATAACTTGAAGACTAGGCTTGAAGTATTAGTAAAATCACCAACCTGACTCTTAAAATAATCATGGTAAGTATTTCGCTGGTATCTTCCTCGAGGAACTAGCAAGTCCAAATTATAAGACAACTTATCCAAATACATTCCACGTGTATAAACACACATATATATGTATATTATCTAGTTGTCGTGGAACTTAGTGACTGCTCTTAAACTTTCAAGTACCAAGATAATTTAGTTCCACTTGATTTTTAGAGCAATCATTATATCTTTAGAATCACATTAAAGTCCTCCCCCATAATAATGAAAGAATATGTACGTGGACTACTTGGACTTTGCACTTGAAATCTCAATACTGGTTACCCAGGCTCAAGTAGTAGATATGAAAGTTACATCTCAGTCAAGACATTGACACATTTGCATTACTTTATTAATTAACATAGGTATCATCTCCCCCTTTTTTATTAATTGGGATGCACCAAGACAATACCCTGCCCAACTCTAATTAGGCTAGGAAAACTTTGCACCGCCCGTGGATTTTTCCTAGTTCTTTTTGGATACCGATAATTATAACTCTCCTACATCGGCATTAGTCTTTCAATAACTTCCTCACTACTCCTATAAATAGCCGCCTGCCCCTCCATTGTTGAACACCAATTTACGTTGTCTGCAAGTTATTCGACTTGGCATTTGACGATTCGCGAGCATTAGCGCGAAGGTAATTTCTTCTTCTTTCTTGTGCTTTTCTTCCTTTGTTGTCTTTTTTTTTTTTTTTTTTTTTTACGTAGGTTCTAAGTCTAAGAAGTATATGCTTNACTATCGGCGAGGCCAACTTAAGGTGCAAAGGGATTTATATGTCTACCTTAAGATTGGAAGATTTATATGTCCACAGAATGTGGCTTGACTATCGGAGAGATTACTCTCAAAATGGCCCGACTATCGAAGAGATTACTCTCAATGTGGCTCGACTATCGGCGAGGCCAACTTAAGGTGCAAAGGGACTTATATGTCCACCTTAAGATTGGAAGACTTATATGTCCACAGAATGTGGCTTGACTATCGAAGAGATTACTCTCAAAATGGCCCGACTATCGGAGAGATTACTCTCAATGTGGCCTGACTATCGGAGAGATTACTCTCAAAACGGCCCGACTATCGGAGAGATTACTCTCAATGTGGCCTGACTATCGGAGAGATTACTCTCAAAACGGCCTGACTATCGGAGAGATTACTCTCAATGTGGCCTGACTATCGGAGAGATTACTCTCAATGTGGCTCGACTATCGGCGAAGCCAACTTAAGGTGCAAAGGGACTTATATGTCCACCTTAAGATTGGAAAGTTATAAAGCTTCAACTCGAAGACGATATCGACTTGAACATTTGGAAAACTTTGAAGATTTGGCGGACCTTGCAGACTTCAACTCGAAGATTCGGAGGGCTTAAACAATTCAACTTTAAGATCGACGAATTTGAAGACTGAAACTTGAAGACCGACGAACTTAAAGACTTCAACTTTGGGACTTGGAGGGCCTAAATATGTCAACTTGAAGATCAGCGAATTTGAAGACTTCAACTTGAAGACCGACGGACTTGAAGACTTCAACCTTGTGACTTCGAGGGCCTAAATATTTCAACTTGAAGATCAGCGGATTTGAAGACTTCAACTTGAAGACCGACGGACTTGAAGACTTCAACTTTGAGATTTGGAGGGCCTAAATATTTCAACTTGAAGATCAGCGGATTTGAAGATTTCAACTTGAAGACCGAGGGGGTTGAAGGTTTCAACTTGGGGACTTCAACTTGAATACACTTGAAGACTTCAACTTGGAGACTTCGAGGGCTTAAATATTTCAGCTTCTCTTTTGCTTTACATTATTCGACTTTTATCTTAGTAACATAATTTTCAACTTTACGTGCTTGTAACAACTGATTCATATCTTGCCGTGGGAGAGTTCAAATAATGAACCGTTTGATGACTTCAATACCTAAAATATATCCAATACTCAGAATCAAAAACCTTCAGAATCGCGCCGGATAATATTTTGAAACCAACTTTAGGTTTCACCATGTTAAAAATTTCAGATTTGCACAGTCTCACCAAAAAATTCATATCTCGGTGTAGAAATATCGAAATTGCAAACCGTTTGATTTCAAGAAAACTAGACTTCAAGATCTAGAACATATCCGAAATTCTCAATCAAACAACTTCTGAATCGTCCCAGATAATATTTCGAAATCAACTTTACATTGCACCACGCTATCATTTCCAGATTTGCGCAGTCTAGCCAAAAGATACATATCTTGGTGTAGGAACGTCGAAATTAGGAACCGTTTGATTTATTGAAAACTAGACTTCAAGATCTTGAATATATCCAAAATTCTCAATCGAACAACTTCGGAATCGTCCCAGATAATATTTTAAAATTAACTTTACATTGCACCACGCCATCAATTCCAGATTTGCGCAGTCTCACAAAAATTCATATCTTGGTATGGAAGCCTCGAGATCGGAAGATGTCTTACTTGCCATCAATCGAAATTTAAGAGCCATATTCTCACAAATATCTTGAGTTCAAGTCTCACTGAATTTGAAACGTTGTGCCAAGCAATCCTTTCCTTATACTTGTGTTTCCTTTTGATGTCTCTCTTCTCTTCCCTTTTTTTTAAGGCAGAGGGCGGACTTGGAGACCAACAAATTTGAAGGTTTGGCGAACCTGAAGACATAGAGAATCCCTGGACTTCAATGCAAATACTTGACATCCTCCTAAAATCGGCCCATCGAAGATATCAATTTACCATGGAGGGTCGCCCCCTTTAAATCAAATGAGGTCAAAGTTCAGTAGGAGGATGGCATTTCAGCTTGATCTTACATTCCTTCATACTTCATTCGAACAACAATTGGGGCAATATGTATCTTTTGAACTTATGCGACTGAACTTAGAATGAAACTCTAAGCTGCCTACGTACCTCGGTGAAGAGGATCAAGTTATACCGTAGTTCAGACTGGGTAGATTTTTTTTATTTTTACGTCCTAACTTTTGCCTAGGCCGCCTCTTTCGAGATTTTCAACCTAGCGGACTTTTTTTTTGGGCCGTACACAGTTTATACTCTTGCGGGCTAGGAGTGTACCAACATACAGTTTAGGCTCGTGCGTCAAGGAGCGTTGCAACTTCAAGGATAATACTTCTTCAAAAACTTGCCATTGATAGGGCCGATCCTCATACCATCTACATCAACCAGCTTGTAAGCCCTACTTGAGTAAGCTTCTTGTACGACATATAGCCCATCCCATTTTGAAGTGAACTTCCCTACAGGTTTATGGGAAGTAATTATGGGTCTTCGTACGGCAAGGACTTGATCTCCTACTTGAAAGGATCTCGGGCGAACTCTTTTATTGAAGGCGCGAGATAATCGAGCTTGATAACATTCAAGACTCTGTTGAGCTTCCAATCTCTTTTCATCAAGAGCTTCCAACTCTGCTAACCGAAGTCGAGCATTTTCTTCATCAGTGATCCCTTCTTGAATAGCCAGTCGTAACGAAGGTAT